CAAAACCCTATTCCAGTTATTTAGGCCTCAATATTATCCTGACGCAACACCTCAGGAGGAGAGGACTCTGCTGCAGCTCTTCGTGTCCATGGCCGACCAGGCCATATCATGCTTGCAGCCTGCGACCTCTCCGAAAATGCCGGAAACTGGGCTTTGGAGTACCATACTTTCATACTTTTTGTTGGGACCTGTTCCTTAAAGGAACGGTTCTGAAACAAAAAATCTACTCCCTGGTTACTCCAAAACCCAGGAAACTCCTGTGGCAGCCGGGAGTTGGCAGGAGCCTGGGCCTGGGGTTTGGAGTACCATACTTTAATACTTTTTTTAGGACCTGTTCCTTAAAGGAACCATTGTGAAGAAAAAAAGGCTATACCTTTTTCTCCCTGGGTACTTCAAAACCCAGGAGCCCTTCTCAGAGTACTTGGCTCAACTTCGCTCTCTTCACTGCCCAAGGACCTGAGATGGGTAGTTTTCTAAATTAGGGTCCCTTTTAGGGCCCTTTGTATAAGGGTGCCGTACTATATTGGGGACCTAAAAAGGGACCCTAATTTAGAAAACTACCCACATGCTTTTCAAGCGAACGTCGACCGATCTGCCGGGCTCTGTCAGCACTTCGCCACTGGACTTGGGGGATGGGCAGATGGGCGTGGAGTGGGCATATAGCGACACCCACGTGATGAAACGCCGACACCAGCGAAACTTCGCGATCGAGGCTACGCGGACTGCGGCACGGCCATCCGGATTCGTTGGCAATTTGCGCAGCATGGTAGTGGACAAGTCACCTCACCTCGTATGTCACTGGCGGCCTTGACACGGAAGCGGAGCGGGAAAATCATGCGCAGGGTTGAGTTTTAAATACCTAAACCCTACAAGCCCTAAATCCTAAACCCTGAACAGTGGGTGGTGATGTGATGGAGCAGCTGGTGGTTTTTGAGTGGGTTTTTCAGAGCCTAAGAAGGCCAGTTCCGGAGGCGAGGTAAAGGGCACAAGTCAACTTGACAGGAAACAGCGGTGCCGTTGCATGTGCAACCTTCAGCATATGGGGGTTTCCGAAAATAGGGGACCCTAATATAGTACCCTAAATAATAGGATCCTTATTATAAGGACCCCAAAATAAGGTACCCCTAATATTCGAAAACTTCCATATCGGTGAGATCCCCGGTCTCCAACACAAACCCTCTAAATCTTAACCTCTCACCAATCCCCCCTAATAGCCTAAATCCTAAACCTTAAATCCTAACCTCAGAAACCTCAGATCTTTACTCCTGAATGCCGTGCCCGAAACGCTGAGACGTCCCAGGTAGCATTCGGGAGACCCCTTAAAGGAGACCCTTCTTAGCCCTACTTATGGCTCTCTTAAAAGGAACCTTATTGAGAGGGTTTACATCCCCAAGGGTCCCCTTAATCCTCAATGGAAAACCCTAAACCCCAAAAGCATTTTCCGAAACCCTTAATAACCCTCGGCCCTAGCGCACTCAACATTAAAGCGGAAAGCACAACCACAACAAACCAAGCTAAAGAGCATGCACACGAAGAAAAGACTAGCACGGCAGAAGCCCATCCTAAAGCACACGCACAACATAGACAACAGCCACGAGCGAGGTAGGGGCTTTCATTGGGGCTGGCAAAGCATCTGGAACTTTAACGCAGTTCTTTCAACATCTCTGGAAACCTGCGCATTTAAAACTCGCAAGCTAGTATTTTACAAGCCCTCGGGTAGAAGCCCTGATGTGCTCAGAATGTCAATGCCAAAAAAGGGTTTGCAACAAGGGAGCTCTACTTCTTTCGCCTAGTACTACAGGGCTATCAGGACCAAATAAGTCTGACACGGAGGCCAGCATAAGCTCTGCATTCAACATCGGCATGGCCCAATGGGTGGTGGATGTTGACAATCTGCCAACATGCCCAAAGAGAACTCATATGAAGCCCACCTTCTGACTGTAACTACGTGCATAATCAAACTTCCGTGCACATAAGCTACAACCACTAACTACCGTCCTACACCCAAGCACCAAGAGTGAGCCCAATAGCCCTTAAACCCTAGACCCAAAACCTTAAACCCCTAGACCCTAAACACTAAACCTTAAGCCCTAAACCCTAAACCCTAAACTTAAACTCTGAACCGGACATGGTTTAGGAGCAGTTCCCTGAAACTGAAGGCGAGAGGGCCGCCAGCTCCGCACGCGAGATCGCAGCGATGGCCATGGGCTTCTCAGCTCCGTTAGGGTTTAGGGTTTAGGGTTTAGGGTTTAGGGTTTGGGTTTAGGGTTTAGGGTTGAGGGTTTAGGGTTTCGGGTTGAGGGTTTAGGGTTTGGGATTTAGGGTTTAGGATTTACGGTTTGGGGTTTCAGGTTTTCGGAGTGAGGGTCCAGGCTGTTTGGGGTCTGTCGAGCTTGAGTTTGTTTTTTTGCTCTGGGGTTCTTAAAGCTATGGGGCCTTCAATTCTCGGTATTGCGGGGGGGGGGGGGGGGGGGGG